GTGGGGGGGGGGGGGGGACGGGGGATGCTGGAGCAGGAAGGCGCAGGGCTGTTGGCCACCGGGGGAGCCTGGACCCAAAAAGCCCCTCATTGCACTATTCCTGAGCTGTAAGCGACAACCACCCCTAGGACGGTGCCTTCCCTGAGGGGCGGGGCAGACGCTGGTAGGAAAAAAGAGTTCCTTTCTTGCTGAGGGCACCCTAAAGCCTCGTGGTGAGGGGGGGCGGTGGGGGGTGCCCGGCTCATCCATCGCTCCAGAGCAGCAGTTTCTGATTCTGCTGCAGCTCAGGACAAAAGACAGGAAAACCAGGCAAGGAGGTGGGGTGGAAGCCTTGTTCTCAGAGGAAAGTACCAAAGCCTCACATCAGCTTAAGAGTTTTCTCCACCCTTTCTCTCTTCATTAGCCCAGGAGTCCCTGCAGAGCCAGTCGGGCTGGGTGCCTCTGCTGCTGGCCCTGCTACACGAGTACACAGCCAGCAACTCCCACTGGCGGCCTTACTTCTCCCTCTGGCAGGACTTCAGGAGCCTGGATCACCCCATGTTCTGGTAAGGTGAAACCACATGGGGCTGTGAGGTGGCCCCATGTGAGAGCTGAAGGTGGGGGTTGCTGCCCAGGAGTCTTGGGGAAGGATACAGTTTGGGTACAATGAGTCCTGTATGGGAAACCACACAACCGACTGGAGGAGGAGTGAATCAGAGCTGCATTGGAAAAGTCAACATGGATGGGCAGGCCACAGCTCTCCCTTTGGGCTGGAGGTGATGGACAAATGAGGCAGAAGGTAAATGAGCAGGATCACAGAAGCTGAACGCCATCAGGGATTATTAAATGCAAAGAGGCTACCATTTCATTTTGAAGGAAAAAAAGTTTAAACACCCTTCTCCCCAGGGCAGGCAGAGATAAACCTGCCATTTTTCTTGCACTAGGCCTGAGGAAGAGCGAACAAGGCTCCTGCAGGGCACAGGCATCCCAGAGGCAGTGGACAAGGACCTGGCTAACATCCACCTGGAGTACAGCTCCATCATATTGCCTTTCATGGAGTCCCACCCCAACATCTTTGACCCCAAGCTGCACACGCTGGAGTTGTACAAGCAGCTGGTGGCCTTTGTCATGGCCTACAGGTGAGAAGCAAGGGCTTTGCTCCGACAAGGAGCAAGGGCAGGGAGTAGGATCACAGGGAAGATTATAGCCCACATTACTTCAAAGGTCGTGGTTGCACAAGAACGTAAGTATAAGGCGAGGCTTGCCCTGTGCTGCAAGATGTAGAGCTGGCTTCTCTTCATCACCTTCATCTTAGCTTTCAGGAGCCTTTGGAGGAAGAAGATGAAGATGAGAAGGGGCCCAATCCTCCAATGATGGTGCCTGTAGCAGATATTTTGAATCACGTGGCCAACCACAACGCCAACCTGGAATACTCTCCCGTGAGTCCTCTTCACAGCAAGGCCTTTGGGAGTGGTGCCACAGCAAGGCTGGCTCTGAACCTCCAGCCAGGGCAGCAAACAAGTCTGGCCTGGATCTCATTAACGCAAAGCTGTTTTGCTCAACATAGTCCCCTGCTGCACACCTGGCTTTAGTCAGGAAGAGCTTAGGGTCACCCAAGCCCCTTGGAAACACCTTGTTTCCGAGCTCAGCAGATTCACCGCAGCTGAGAGCCGCTTCTCTCCCTGCTCACAGCAATGTTTACGAATGGTTACAACACAGCCCATCAGGGAAGGAGAGGAGATCTTCAACACCTATGGGCAGATGGCCAACTGGCAGCTCCTGCACATGTATGGCTTTGCAGAGCCATACCCTGGCAACACCAACGACACAGCCGACATCCAGATGGTGACAGTACGCAAGGCAGCGCTGCAGCGTGAGTGGGCACCCATAACCGATTTGGGAAAGGGTGGGGCAGGGATCTCTTAAGTAGGGATGTAATGAAACAGGAATCAAGGGTGACTTGAAAAATAAGCCATTCCACAGAATTCCCCCTTCTCCATTTGCCACCCCCCCCCCTCCACTGCAACCCACACTGGGTTTGCAGCTCTGCTGTCTTCACAGGTGCCAAAAGCGAAGCACAGCAGCAGCTGGTCTTGGAGCAGTGGGACTTCTTGTGCCAGCTGGAGATGGTGGGGGAGGAAGGCGCCTTTGTGCTCAGCTGGGATGAGGTGCTGACAGAGGAAGAGCTGTCCATGACCCTGAAGGTAGGCACTGCCAAGTGCTGGAGGAGCTACACAAGGAGGAGCACAGACCAAGTGTACTGCAGTTGTGCACCCCAGCATGCAGAATGGTTCAATCAAAGGGGAGACGACAGCCTCTAAAAGCATTTTGGTACCAGCACTCCTGTGTGAAAAGCAGTAGGGTATGCAGTTGCAGGTCTCCCCGGGCTTCAGGTACAGCCGCTGTCATCTTCCTCTCCTGGACTGACCACCCACGTGTACTTACAAACTAGTCTCAAATGGCTGTTCTAGAGAGCTTTGCACCTTTTGTTGGTGGCAGCTGACATGCCCTTTAAGGCTGTTCCCAGCACCCAGGTTTGCTGTTGGAATGTTCTTCTAACCCACAAATTACTTGGGATTAGATATCTAGGCCAGTTTTACTCTCTCACCTTTTGTGCAGCAGAGGATTAATTCTCCCACTCCACATGGCTCTAAGACCACACTTCTGTAGAGAGGAAAGCCCAATGCACTCACACTGCCCATGACTTCTCTCTTTGCCTGGGTCATTGCAGGTGCTGTGCATGTCAGAAGAAGAATTCAAGGAGTATAAGGAACAAGATGGCTGGGAAGATGACAGCGAGGAAGAGGAAAACTCCACCCTTTCTAATGAGGCTCTCTCCAGACTTAAAACCCCTTGCAAGCAGCTCCTTTACAACAGTGTGCTGCTGACCCTGGAGTCCTACAGGTCAGACTTGAAAGCAGAGCAGGACTTGCTAAATAACAAGGAGGCTTACGAGAAGCTGAGTCGAAGGGAGCAGCAAGCTTTGCACGTGCGGTACGGACAGAAAAGGATCTTGCATCAGCTGCTAGAGCTGGTACAGTAGGAATCTCACTGCCTCTGGAAATTAACTGCCCGGAACTCTGCTTAGGAGGGGAAGGTCAGCCTTTGGCCATCTCTTCTACAGCAGCAAGAATAGACAGTGAGATTAAATATGGGTCCACTTGTCTCTCACATGGCATGTGGCTTTTTAGCTACCTCTACATAAACAGCAACAAAAATCTTCCACAGCACAGAAGTGGGTTTGGGGTGGCCTTACCTTACAGTGAGAGCTGTGGAGCACAACTACCACCTTCTTCTAAGAGGACTGAAGAACACCCAGATCTCCTAATGGCTGCTTTAGGAAGACAGACACGCTCTATCAGAATAGCAAGTGGGTTCCCTCATTTAGAAATTTAAGGCAAGAACTGTTCCTTGTCCAGATGAAGAGGGCCAAAATCCAGCTGGTAGCTCATACCTTACAGAGGTTCAGAGTCAGTATCTGGCAGGTGGAGATGCTGACAAACTGAACTATTCACCTATGTTTTGTTAACACCAAGCATTTTAAAGAGTACAAGCCCATCCAGCTGGGTTTCGTGTAGGCTCAATATAGCAAGATGTTTCCTTTTACCTCTATAAAAGGCATTTCTGTATGGGCTTGAGATGCCTATAAAGGAGCACTGTCACAGTTCTCCAGCTGCTGTAGGCTAAGCATTTGATTCACACCCTCCAGGTGATAAAGAGTTCTTCCCCTGAACTCAGGCATTGCTCTGCATCACGTTTAGCTGTATTAATATTTTTCCCTCACCAGTTTTTGCATTACAAAACACTGGAGGTTTGCAGGCCAAGCTGTATTTAATAAAGACGATGTTACTTATCCAGCCAACGCTGTCTACTTCAAAAGGTGCAAAGCCCCCATCTAAAAGGGGGGGAATTTTTGCTGCTGCTGCAGTTAGAAGTATTGCAAACAAGCAAACCCTCTGAAGGTCAGCTATAGCCCTACCTGCACTGCTAGGGGCCAGGGTGGTTTAACATTACCTGGGATACTTTTCTCCCCTTTTACAGTGGTGTAATGCTGTAACAGTCCAGCCTGTCATCTTGGCTCTTCTCTTCCTATGGCAGACTAGATTTCAAACTAGGCACACAGCAGATCAAAAGGTTAGTCTTCATTTTTTAAACATTAAGTGCGTTATACCCAGGGCCTCTGCTGGCAAGGACATTGGTATTCCTTGGGGAGCTGACACCAGCGCTGTTCACTTTGACAGTACCAGCTGCAGCTTCCTTACCTGCTAAGAGGGTATATGAAGCACAGCAGCTTCCATCCTACCAGCCCAACTTGTGTTACTGGGATCTTTGCTGAGTCCTGTCCACCTTCCACCCCCTCTTTACACCAGTTCTTAAAGCCTTAAGGGAGCCAGCCATGTACAGCAGCATTAGTACAGAACCAGAGAGACCAGAGAGTTTTGAGTCATTAGGACAAGTTAAGTAAGCTCCACATATGGTTTGCTAGAGTTAAATGACAGGAAAAAAACCCATGGCATCTGGGCTAGATAAAGAAAAAATGGTTGCAGATAGTTTTCCATATCCTAACCTAATTCAAGAGGAGGAATAAACTGGAGCTGCAATAGCGGAACCAAAAAAATCTTCAACTCGAAAAGGTTCAATTTCAGCACAACTGCTGACCTGCCAAACAACTGCGAGGGAGTTCTAGGATTTTGTAGGCAAGAAACTACTCCTTTACACACAGGCAACTGAAAAAAAACCCACTGCCTAGAAACAGGTCACAGATCAAGAATGCCCCTTGAGCTGCACAGTTGGCTCAGTGGCCCCCTGGATCTAGTTTTTGCTCTGTGCAGCAAAAGCACAGCCAGGAGCGCAATCCCTTAAACCTGAGCAGGAAATCCTGACCTCTCCACCCATACAACAGCAGTTATCTAGCTTTAACAAACTGGTAACATTACCTAAAAAAGCAAGCAGTGAAGCTCTACTTCCTAGTATCTGCTAGGTTGCAAGGCATAGGCTAGGAGAGTTTGCAGAATTAGCAATGCTGAAGCTGCTACCCTTGCCACTGCTAGCTAACAGCCTTGCACAGAGCCTTGCTGAAGGGAACTATTGCAGCAGGGCGCAAGTCACAAGCACAGCAGCTGGTCTGCAGGTCTGTGCCCTGTACCCCTCCGCTGCAAGCGATCTCCTTTCCAGCACAACTTCGTTGGAGACAAATTCTGCTCATGAAATTGAAACTAAGAGTTCTGTCTCCACGCAACTGCGTCCTTTCCTTTTGCACCTCAAAGCAAGGCCCTTAACAATTCTCCCCTCTGACCTCAAGGTAGAAAACTATCTCAGTCACTCTCAACAGCCAGTGGCCAAAACACACTGGAAACTGCAGATTTTGGATTGGTGGAACAGACTTGAAAAGGCATCAGCTGGCCAGGTAGGATGGAACTGGAGAGAATAAGCACAGCGGCACGTGCTGCATGTCATGACTTTAATGTGTAACTACAGTATGCATACATACAAGAAGTGGGAGAACTAAAGCCCAAGAACTAGAAAGGCTACAAAATACAACACATGGACCAATACTTTACAAAACATTCAAAATCCTTACAAAATGGGCTGTATTGGTCCTTTGGGTTTTTTGTTTTTTTTTTTTTTTTTTTTGGGTTTTTTTTGGTTGGGTTTTTTTTTTTTTTTTTACAAACTTATACTGTATGGTCACAGGGTGCAGGGTGGGAAAAGGTCTGGATTTAACCCCCCTCCCTCTTTCAAAATTTACAAGTGTCAAAAAAAAAAAAAGCTATAGGCCTGGTCTCTGGTTTCTTTACTAAAAACAGCTGACCCTCTCCCAAAGGGCCTGAGGTGTGTCTTTTCAAACAGAAAAGAGGCATTCTCTGGCTGCCACTCCACTTGCTGTCTGTCAGCATTTTATGAGGGTGGGGGGAAAGAAACACCGAACCTTAACCCCTCCCCTATTCCATAATATTCCCATATTCCAAAACATATCCCCCTTTTTTTGTAAAACAACTCAAGTGATTTAAAGGTCCCCCATCCGCATAAAGAAAAATAAGTTACATAATATTATAACTGGCTTTTCAATATTCTTTGGGAGTCTGGGAATGTCAGGACAAGGAGGTCTGCCCCAGACAAGTGCTTGGCATCGGCAGCTGCCCCTTTATTACAAGCCGGACAGGCACCAGTTACCCACCTGCCTTTTACACAATTTGCACAAACCCAAAAGTCCAGACAAACGTTTTGTTCCTTGTATTTACACTGGTTCAAAATGATATTCACAGCATCTTCTGAATTTTGGCCAAAAGGCAAAAATTTGTTTCAAACTTTGGAACGTGCCCACATAAGACTTTCACCCAGGGTCTGTTGTGTCTACCCAATCAAAGGGGCTGGGAAGGTCAGCAGGAGCCTTACAGAGTCTTCTGTCAGTCGATGGGACGGGGACCTCCAGGCTGGCACGCTTACAACCCAAGATGCGGCTCATCTAACTGGCACCAGTCCCTTCCATTACTTGCTGGGCCTGCTTCTGCCCCATGCAGCACTGTGCAACTGACTGGAACAACCTGAACACAAAAGCAACGCAGCATTAGGTGCATTTATGGCAGCAAAAACTCAAGGTACATCTCAGCCCCTGCTTCAGATCTACTAGCTTAGTGATTTTTAAGGATTTTAAGTTATACTCACTTCTCAATTTCTGGAGCGCAGTGAACGAACTCATGGTTCCAGAATTTAAATGCTGGGTTTTTTATCAGCTCAATGAAAGTAATAAGGAGACCCCAAGGATGAGGCCTATTTACAATCAGTCGTTCCAAGAGAACCCTGAAATCCAAAAGTAAAAACAGCTAGAGCTCAAAGATCTGAAATATACAGGGAAGGAAAGCAAAAAGCTGAATGCTGGCAAGTGACATGCCTTCCCTCTCACCTAGTGATCTGCTCCTGGATAGCCTCCGTGTTGGCCTCTGCAAACAGGTACAGCATGGTGCAACTAAAGTAGTGGGTGTGACTGTTGGGGTATCGCAGCTGATTGGCAATTGCGTTCAAGAAAAGGTACCGGCCTGCAGAAGAGGAACAGTGAGTACATACAGTTTTCAAACACACACAAAAAGGAATAAAGCGGCAACTAGTATTGCTTAAGATTAATGTTTGTGAACCTGCCTTGTGAAGGTACAAGAAACAAAACCTGAAGATATGAAAAAGCCTTACCAACCCACACTGATGGGGCAGTAAGAATTCAATTTCTCCTCATTAAACTTATTTCTCATTCCCTTGAATACCTCGAATGTTCAGTTTTAATATCACTCCTGTATCCAGAGTTTACTATTCAAACGTAGCATTACTTATGGTGAATTCACTAGCAGCTACATGAAACGATCTCTGTATTTCTCACAGCTCAAACAATCTGCTGTTAAATTCGACATCGCATGAACTAGCAGTGGTTCCAGCTCACCTTCAGTGTCCAGGTCTACTGCCAAATTCTGGAATATGTCCATGTGAGCTGAGTGGGTAATGGTGCTCATAGAGGGTGTGCTGCCTTTGTTGTGAATGTGCGCAATAGCTTGAGTACCTACGTAGAGCACCAGTGCATTAATCAGCTGGATGTTGTAGCGGTTGCCAGGTTCATTTGATACCTAATAGCAAAGATATGAAAAGCATTAATATCCTATATTCCTTCAGCAGTCGAAGGTACAGCATGTACAACAACAGCACCCAAGTATCTTCCTGATTATACAGACAACACACTTAGACAGCCACAAATCCAATTTGGCATTTATCTTTTTTTAATATCGTGTATGTATATTCAAAAGCATCAGCAAAGCATTGACAGACCCAACTGACAATTTTTGTATGCCCTACCTAAAAGTAAAAACATGAGGTAAAGGCAATCTGAATGCATCAGCAGTGCCAGAGGCTGGCTGGAATGCACATGACCTGTATGAATGCTTCAGTCTGAGCAGTTTTCTGAGAAAGTCCAACTGCAGTTCTGAAGTCTGTTGCAAGCCAAACCACGTGATGTGTTAAATGCATGCAGTTGGCTAACAACTCTGAACTGGGCTTTAACTAATTTGCCTTCCTCCTGCCCCTAAAGCATTAGCAAATCGATAGATTTCAATAACCAGCAAGAACGAATCCATTTGGAGTCAAAATTTCATCAGAATCTAAAAAACCCAACGCAATCAAGTTCAATAAAAGTTGTTGAATCTCTGCCAATTCTTGCATAAACAGTGATGGAGTCATGTGATGGAAGCCACAAGACTCTCCATCACCCAAGGGTTGAGGATAAAAAAAAAGCAAGCCTGACAATCAGCTCTGACTACATTCTTCACTAAAGATTTGCAAGGTTGTGCACTCAGGTCATGCAAGCAGAAGAGTCAAAGTTTTAGATAACCTTACATTTTCACTTACATAAGCATTTGGCAGCTCATGTAGATAAAACCAGCTGCTTTTAAATTAGATCATTTTAGGGTTGTTAAAGTCAGCATTCCTCTTTCCTTACATTCCACCTGGCTGAAACTACTTAATAGACTTAAACATCCTGCTAGGGAGTGGTAGAGGAAATACTCAGGGAAGCGTGCATTTTCAGAGGCTTTCCTAATGCCTGGAACACACACTTGCTACACATCAACAAAATTCCTGCAAGAAAGGAGGGTGACTCGGCCAACAAGATAGTTTGTCCCACAGAATTTGAATTCAGTATCCTCAGAAAACAGCCACTCACTTGTAGGTTGCTGCGCAAGTCAGACAAAAAAGTGACCGGAGAACGGGTTTTGAGATAGGAATCCAAGTCTTTCTTGAACTGAGGTGGCATCACTCCAGTGAAATTCGTGAGTATTCGTGGAGCGATATTAATCTCACTTAACATATCCACCTGTTGAGAGAAATCCCGGTCAGCTAAACCATAAGCTATCTCTAAAGGAACAGATTAAAAAAGCAGATCTGTAACTGATACTACATCAAAACTCCTGCTGTTGATTGCTTTTTCCTACCAACAATGAAAAGGAAGCACCATGCTTTTGCAGATTGCAGAAGAAATCTTGTCTCTAATGTGCAAGCTTACTAAATGACTGTCTCGAAGAATTGAGAGTAGAGAATAAAAGAATCCAAAGGTAAAGGCCCTAGGGGAGTTCACACAGTGCCTTTGAAGTCTCCCTATCTACACTCAAGATAGTTTGGTAGTTTAAAAAGGTACAAACATCCACATAAGTCAAGGACAGCCTTCTTCAACCTCAAGAACTGCTAACTGAATGAGTGTTGCAGCTTCACTCCCATCACCCTGCATAGCTTAGGCAATGAAGAGTAACGGGACAATGCTTTAGCAGCATGAGAAAGTTTGCTCCTAATCGTTCCATGATAAGGAGACTGGCGCACGCCCGAAGATTTATTTAGGCAACATTAACACTCCTCAAAGTCTCTCCCCATTATACAAGAGGCTTGCTTCAGAACAGTGGTTTATCTCACTGTTTTCAAGATAAGATGGTGCCATCAAAAAGTATTTACAATGACACCAGCTCTTCAACAATTAAGTTAACTGAACAGCAGTCCCCACACATCCTGCAGAGCACAAATTTTATCATCCAGCATGAGCTGCACAAAGCTGGAGACAAGAACTGCTGGATGAGGTTCCATTCAGGTTTGCTTTAGCAATGCCACAAAGACTGCTTGAGAAGTCTGTTTTTCAGCGACCAATGAGACAGTAAAATGATAGATGCCCTTGCCCCAACACCGGGTGCCAGTCAGCTCTAGTAACACCATTAAGTTGGTCTCCCTTTGAAAACAGAGAAGCCCTCTGGCTTCCCATGCAAGAGCTTGGTTCTCAATGCAGTTCTTGTTAACACAAGTCTCACCAGCCTGTCCTTTCAGGTTGAACCTGCAGAGAGTCTGCAAGCAAGCTACGTATCTGCAGGTGCCAGTGAAGCCACACAGACCAGAGTCAAGCATTATGCTTCCAGTTGCAACAGATTTCATATGGGACAAGGATTGCATCCCACTCTGTATGGGAACTGTCAAACACTGAGCCTTAAAAACATAACCAAAACCTACATGCTTTAAAAATGCTGTTCTGCTGTGCTGATCTCACTTAAGTTTCAAATTCCCTGTTAACTTTTGAATGGTTGCATTAATTCAAGTATCAGTTAAATTGCCCCCAAAATATCACAGCCTCTAAAAAAACCTGGATAAAGAGTACTTGGAGCATAAAAGCTTCCCATTATCAATCTCATGAAAGTTGAGTCCTACCTTTAGGTTGGGGGTGAAAGGGTCTGGAAGCCTCATGTTCCGTGGGAAGGCACTCAGGATCAGGTTCCTTAGCTGAATACAGTTAGGTGGGATCACATCACAGAACCCATAGTGGTAGTCACAAAGAAATTCTGGGAAATCATGCAACAAGACCAGCAGCACACGCAGAGTGCCCTGTGAAAAAAAAAATATAACAGAGGTGTGTAACTGTCCAAACCGCCCAAGCACTTGCAGCACCATCCTTCTATGTCATGTGGTTAACATTAACAAGAAGAAACTAATCTGGAAAGGTAGCCTGTTTCTGTCCCACACCAGATTTGTGATCGATTCTAAGAAATAAGTTATACAAGAACAGTAAATCCTATTTTACTACAGAACACCTCTACTTTCAGACAACTGAGGTTGGAAGCACCATCTATTAACCGACTTTTTTTTACCTTGTAAAGAATTTGCATAGGTTTGGTGAGTTCCACATTTCTAAGGAAAGGAGCCAAGTACTTGAAAAGATCGATCAGTAACTGGGCATACATAGGCCAACCCTGTCAAGAAAGAAACAGCAGGTGGGAAACATGCAACGAAAAGCAGTTACCTTAAGTTCAAAACTATAATTAGATTGGGTCAAGGTTATGTCCTACTGCTGTAGCTCAAGCAGCGAGTGCAGCACAGCTCATTTTGAGGGCTTTAGCTGCACATCATACACTATGGATGTTTCCAGAACCCTCAACATGCCTTACTGAGTCAAGAGTATTTGGTCTAGACTACGTCTCTTCCAGACTTTGACAAAGGCATGTTTATTAAATTCAATTCACCCTGTATTCCATAGTTTATTGATGCAAAGACTCTCCTCCATGCAGTTAGGTTACTGTGAATATGGAAGACAACCAAAACAGAACAGCCATGC